TTTTTTTTTTTTTTTTTTTTTTAACGGCTAGCCTCTGAATTGCAACAGTTGCTTTCTCACAGGTTTTGAAACTCGACCTCGCAAGACAGGTATGGCCAGTTTCAGCCGGTGGGGCCACTCCCACCAATGACCGAGCTCCGACTGGCACGTTTTGACGCACGTCCTCCTTTTTTAAATCAAAGGCGTCAGATGGTCGCGCCGCCTCGTCGAAAGCAACTTCGGGACGGCATTCGACGGAACAAGTAGCTTGCTCTTCAACTTCGGTCTGCGAGCAGCGTAAGTTTGTGAAGAAATATCGTCGAATTTTGTCACTGTCGGGAAATATGTTTGGCCTTATAAGATAATGGTTAAGATTTGACATGAGTATGTTTCCGTTTCTAATTGAACTAAAATTCAATGTGAGGTTATGACTCTGGTTGCTTTACGTTGTAATTTCACCTTGTTTCAGGGTAGAATACGACTCCAGTGGCTTTCCTCGGTTCGTACAAATTCGTTAGAATGTTGCATTCGAGCTTAACGCACCATGTGAGTCTATGAGTCAGAGTAGCAATTATCTCTCACTAGGTCGTCATCATTAAAATCTTTGCGTTGTCTTTGGTCTGCGCACATTTCAAGTGGGTGATGTCGACTCTTTCATTTCCAAGGAACCACTCAAAATGGAGGTCAAGAAAAAGAAGTTGATGGACAACCTTCGCATGAAAACAAAGCTGGTCAATCTGATGAAGCCGGGTAAGAAGGCAGCAGAGAAGCAAAAGAAAAAAGTCGGCGTCAGACGCAGCATATCTGTACCGGACCTCAGTGTCAAGCCGGACAAAGGTCTTCTTCCGAAGACCGCCTTGCCCAAATCGTCCGATTCTACGTTTTTTGGATTGAGCGATAGCGATTCTGTTGCGAGCGGCTCTGTTGCGAGCGGCTCTGTTGCGAGCGGCTCCATCCCAGACGGCTCCACTTCATTTGACAAGCACATTAGCGTCCGGTTTCCCGCAGACGCAAGCTCCAACAGAGCTACTTCCCCAATTAACTCGCCAAATCTCAATGAGGGAGTTCACAACGTGCAGACTCCAAGCGCGGAGAAAAGAGCGAACACGCCCGCTGAATCGCAAGCCAAGAGGAAAGGGCCTTTGTTTAATTTCGACTCTTGTCCAGTCCCACGATCCGTCTTTACCAAAGCCGGTTCACCAATGCCCAATTCCGCTATGAGCTCTGAACAATCTTGGCTGTCCGAGGACATCTCAGCCGACAGAGCGCTGATCTCCGAAGCGCTGGCCAGAGCGAACTCAATGGGAGAACAAGCAAACGTCAACGCTCATTCAAAGGCGACGTATTTCAAGCAGGACAGGCCGCCGTCTGGAAAAGGCGGCCCATCAGAACAGCGGGAAAAGACGCTCGCCATGTTGGATTCTCTTGGTAAACCTCTGGGGAGCGGAGACTGTGGCAGCGAGTACTGTTGGTCCGGCGAGGACCAGTTGGCCATGCCGTGGTTGACGGCCATGGAGGGACTGGACACGGATGTTGCGCTTTCCTCCGTTCCAAACGAGAACAGCATTGAGGAATTTTCACTGGAAGGAGGCACTCAGGACGAAATTGAGGTCAGTCTGATATACATTTGCTTAATCTGTGTATGGTGTCAATGTCAAAATCCGGGGGAAGCATACAGTTTCCAGGAAAGCCTGACTGGGCTCACGTCAAACTACCGCCCGTTAGTCGGAGGTTGCGGCAAGTTCTGTGCTACTAACCAAGAAGCAGCTAGCCAGCAACGGCTTTCGCTGGCTACTCGTGCACCGAAACGCGTCGCTGAGTTGCTAAAAGTCATCATTTGCGTCGCAGCGAATAAGCGACATTTCTGACAAATATCATTCCCACAAAGAGATAATGAAGAAAAGACAGCAAAGCCACGTTCAAGCTAAGCTAACCTAAGATTGACACAGCTAGCGCGTTGAACACAGTATTTATTAAGTGCTTGGGTGATGGAGTCCACTTTTCACAGACGTCTGTCTCCAGCCGTGTTCAATACTTTGAACAACAATATTTCAGGCAAATGGCAGATAATAAAACATTTTATGTGAAAGCACTTTTCATAGTACTCAAAGATTCACCAAATGGCCTGTAATCTTAAAAGTATGTTCATGTAAAATGAAATATTTAAAATGTATCAGTAATGTTATTAGCTTGTTTTCACGATAGAGTCCTGAGCTTTGACTTTGACTTTGGGGTCTGCAATGTAAATGGAAAAAAAAAAAAAAAAATTAAAAATCAAAAAAATTCAACTAAAGGAGATCTTTAAAAAAAGAAAAAAGTACAATAATAATAATAATAATGATAATAATAATAATAAATCAATTTAGCTTTACTTCTCGACAAGAAAATAACATTTGCAGCGATATGCAATGTGAATTGAAGAAATAAAAACTGTTGGCCTAACAAAAAAAAGAATAACAATTGTTTCTGCTTTATATTGTCATATTTTTATTTTTTAAAAATAAAACCAGTTGCTCCTCAAATGAAGTAGTTGATTCACAAAACTGCTCCGCAAAGAGAAAAAAAAAAAAAAAACTGAGCCTTGCAAGGGTTTAAAAAAAGATTTTGTCACTATGGTTGTCACCCATTGGCGAGTTGGTACACATGTTGCACATAAACAGGCTCTGAGGTGCACATGTTCAGCGGTGTCTTTGGCATGCTAATGTTTTCTTTTGTGCTTTCATAACACCTAATCCCAGTTTATTCATCGGCGGTATATACTGTTGTGTTCTGTTGGTGCAACCTCATAGAACAAGGCTTCTTGTCCTGTCAAGTTAAGCGACCACCCGGGATTTGGTCGTGTTGTTAAAACGAAGACAATCTCTACCTAGATCGGAATCAGGCCTCTTCCAAATGTGGAAAAAAAACTCAACTATGAATGAGATATCTGCCGATGCAAATGCAGCGACAGCCTTTTCCCTTTCATGCACCCTGTAACCTAATAACATGATGAGCTGTCCACTGTAGTATCCGCTGTCCCTGAAAGGGTTAATGTGGCCCGCTAAACAAGAATTACGGTCGCCATAAATGGTGAAAAAGCAGACATACGGGATATGAATGAGATATCTGCCGATGCAAATGCAGCGACGGCCTTAACCCTTTCATGCACCCTGTAACCTGATAACATGATGAGCTGTCTATTGTAGTTTCCGCTGTTCCTGAAAGGGTTAATGTGGCCCACTAAACATGAGCGAGAATTACGGTCGCCGTAAATGGTCAAAAAGCATACATACGGGGGTCTTTGGTTTACGGTGGACTGCCACACCGTATTTGTTTCTAATCAAGTGATGAGTGCATATTTGGTTGAAAACTTTCTAGGCCATTTATGTAAAAGAATCTAAATTAGTATGCATGGCACTCACTGAACATGCCTTTTTGTGCCACGTGACAACATTACGCAATCGAGTTGATTGCGCGGCTCAAAACGGATGTCGATACCGCTGCAATTATGACGACGACTCCGGGCCAACGGGCGAGTCCCATAAAGCGGCGCACAGTTTCGAGGGCTGAAGTCCTTGCGTTCGGAAAACGTCAATCGTCTCACTTTGCATTCACTTCATCAACGTGCGAGATGTTTCTATTCCCTGGAATCAACTGACTTGTTCTGAATGCAGATGTCCTGTGAACCATGTGAATTCTTTGAAGAAACTCTTGCCGACCCCCTGGAAAACTCAGTGAGTGCCCACCTGACTTCTTTGGCATAATGGAGTTGTCCAATCACTTGCGATGATCAATCTAAATGTGAATGGTGTCCCTCGGGGCAGTTTTCATCATCAGGGTTGGACGTCCAAGTCCCGGCCCCCCTCCAGAAATACCTGCTTTGCATCAGCTTGAAACGTGGCCAAAACCTGGGCATCCGAGACAGACGCGGTAGGCGAACAATACTCAAAACATGTTCCGGATTCACAACCTGTCCAAACTTGATCTTGATTGCTCAACTCCTGTCACCATACTTTTAGTTTCGATGTTTTCGTGTGGGCCAGTTGGACCCTTTCCAAAGTTTGCGAACGCAGCCGGCGTTTGCTTGCGAGGATGTCGTCTCCTGTCGAGGGTTACGGTCGTGTGCAGTCAGCACACTTGAAGTATGCTGTCGGACCAGTACGAGAGCGATAAGAATGTGATAAAGGAATCCCTTCATCGGGATGTTGAAACTCCATCACACTCACTGGCAATTAACTGTCTGAAATGAATCATACATTCACGCTTTTGTGCAGAAGCAAAGCCTCCACAAAGTTGTTTTGCTATTTTAAATGAACCGATGAATCAATTTCGTTCAATTTCTCATCGATCAAAGGCCAACAGGAGGCACCCGTACAAATTTGAATAATACTTCCTGGTGAGCCTATTGACCTCATCCGGAGCGCCATCACTCTAGCAAAATTGAAATTGGGAAAGCAGTGACCACCGGTGGAATTGAATATAATTGCCATCTATCCGAAAACTGGCATGCTTGTCTCACTTGGAGGCGGCCAAAAATTTTCCGCCGGTGCTACACACTCTTCCCACCCAGATGCAAGACAAAATTGAAAGCATTAAGAGCACATATTTTGCACATATACACATTTTTTGTCCATATTTAATATTGCATTTTTGTCTTGGAAAACTGGCATGCTTGTCTCACTTGGAGGCGGCCAGAAATTTTCTGCCGGTGCTACACTCTCTTCCCAACCAGATGCAAGACAAAAATGCAATATTAAATAAAGACAAAAAAATGTGTATATATGTGCAAAATATGTGCTCTTAATACTTTCAAGATTCCAATTTTGATAAAACATTTTTCAATGCACGTCTAAAAGATCTATCTATCGAAACCCAACAACAAAGGGTTTGAAGTAAATAACAAATAACCACAAATATATTTTTTCCCAGTGCAAAGAGCTCTTTTGCCTGAAAATGACCATTCAAGGACGGCCCAAACCTTTGAACAAGAAACCGATATTAAGTGCAAAACGTTTTTTTTTCTCACAAAAATCATGTCTCTCAAAATTTACTATGATCGTATTACCACGTTTGTCCTGCATATCATTCCCAATCCGCAGGAATTTATTTGGCCGATTCACATTATAAGATTCCCAGTGCAAAGACCTCTTTTGCCTGAAAATGACCATTCAAGGATGGCACAAAACTTTTGAACAAGAAACCGATATTAAGTGCAAAAAGTATTTTTTTTTCTCACAAAAATCATCTCTCTCAAAATTCACTGTTATCGTATTACTACGTTTGTCCTGCATATCATTCCCAGTCCGCAGAAATTTATTTGGCCGATTCAAATTATAAATTGCAATGTAAGACCCAATACGAGCACTACTAAGACATCTGCTGGTGACGGATGGAATTACAACTCAAAACTACAGTCAACCGCTGCGTCGTCGCAGTTTGGCACCCGCATATTTGCGGATTCTATTTTTGGGGCGGCTGGGGTTGACTTTCCATTACACTCCTGGGATTTTTCCCACCTTCTTCCCCTCATTTTCCATGACATTTTTTAAAAATATTTTTATAGATTTAGTGTTTTTTTTTTGAATATGTTGAATTTTTGAGTTGGAAAAAAAAATGTGTGGCTCACTGACTTATTTGCGGATTCTATTTTTGGGGCGGCTGGGGTTGATTTTCCATTTCACTCCAGGAAATTTTGCCACCTTCTTCCCCTCATTTTCCATGAAAAAAAATAGTGAATATTTTTATAGATTTCATATTTTTTATAGATGGAGAATTTTTACCAGCATTGGTTGAGTTGAAAAAAAAAATGTGTGGCTCACTGACTTTTGAGTTAGTGTGTGTATGTGTGTGTGTGTGTGTGTGTATGTGTGTATATATATATATATACACACAAGTAGTCTGGTCTTTGCACATGGCATTTTTTTTTACCAATTGCGGGTGGGTCTGGAATTCACTATATGAGAGTTACACGTCTCAATGTGATCGCAAAGGGCGCTGTGGTGCCCTTTTCGCTGACAAGATGGCAGCGTGATGATGCAACCCACACACGTTCCGTGCCTCGCCCCTGTTTGCCCAACAATCAGCGGTGTGCCAAAGGCTCACCAAGGGCGTACATTGTCATTACATATTCTGAAAAGGACCCACGCCACCAGCCCCCTCTCGCGCTCTTTGGGTTTTGCCCCCACTCCAACCCCCCCCCCCCTTCCCTCGCCATTAATTTCCATCGTCACCGTCCTCGCTTGTGCCAAAGCTTTTCTCCTCGCGAGCTGCCACATTCTCCTCCTGTCAAGTTGCCTGGAGGTTTCCCTGTCACAGGCTGGCAGGGTGGAGCTGCTGTGGGTCCTGCCTGCCTTTTGCGAGATGTTCATTTGGAGTGGGGAGCTGACAGGCCTGACAGCCCATCCCCACAGGGCCTTTGTCATGTGATTCAAGCATCCCTGCAGGCTCTCTCCGGCACCCCTTTATCCCCCACCCCTACACAAATGAAGGCATGGAAATGGCTTTCATTTTTTTTTTTTTTTTTTTGCAATCGCAGAAACAAAGACGTCTCATACCCTCGGCCCAGACTTTATTAACAGGCCTGGGAGATTAACACTGGTTGCTTCGAGATTTTCGCTTTCCGCTCATCACATGCTGGCGAGTGTTTCGGCTCTTTCACTATTAAAACGGCTACACGGCAGTGTGTGTGGTACAACTCCTCCTCCTCTTCCTCCTCCTCCTTCTTATCCTCCTCCTCTGGAATCAGTGCATGTGTGTGTTCTTATATCAGACGATTCGACGACTTTCACGATGCCATACATTATGCTAATATGTACCCATTGTGCTTCGAAGGTACGAGCGACCCGTACGTGAAGTTCAAATTGGAAGGAAAGCAGTTCTACAAGAGCAAAGTGGTTTATAAGAACTTGAATCCCAGGTGGAATGAGTTCTTCTCCTATCCCCTGCGGGACAGAGAGCAAATTGTGGATGTCCGGGTAGGAGTAGTTGTCCTCAAACCTTTCAATTGGAATGGAAATACACGATTTTCACATGGGCAAAACACTCTCAAATGAACACTTTATCGACTCGTTGCAGGTCTATGATAAAAATCTGACTACCGATGACTTCATGGGTTCGAGCACCATTCCGCTGAGGAATTTCGAACTTTACAAGTGAGTGGCGGTCCCTTTACGTCTGTGTCGTGGATTATGAAAACAATATAAGACAGGTGCAGGCAATAAAATGTGTTTTACAGTAAAAGGTATTTCATAACCCCCTCCCATCAGTGTTAATGGGCGGCTTTGGCACCACGGACATCAGCCATCAGCCATTCTTGTTCGCAGCCACCACTTGCTATCTGCTATGGCTTGGCTGTTTTAAAATCCAGTTGAGGACATATGGGTGCAGTTTAATAAATGTGAATTTTGTTGAAAAGTTCATTTCTTTCTAAATGTAATTTAAAAAGTCACACGTATATGTACTACATCCGGGGACATTTTATTTTAACATTGGACTGGAAACAAGTTCGCTCATTACCGTTTACAGCCAACAAAATCTCACAATTGACCATCTGAAGAAATAAGTATGTAAATAAAGTAGGTTAAGGAGATATGAAATCAAATATCACCTTTCTCTGTAGGACTTACGAATTGGAGTTGCCCCTCACTGATCCTAAAAGCAAAGAAGACGACATGGGAGTCATCTCCGTGGACGTGTGCCTCATGTTTCGGGACGCCACCATCAAACGAAACTGGGTGAGTATTTGTGGGTTGGAACTTTACGCCGAGCACGGAGAACTGTGTCGTGTTGACTCTTGTCCGTATTTTCTTTGTACAGAGGTGGCCAGCCAAAAAGACTAAGGTAAGATTTACAACATATGGACTCAACCTGATGGGTTTTATGATTAAAAAAAAACCACTAGGGGGCAGTAGATCACTGTGCTACGGTGCAACCAAAAAAAAAGCAAAAAGGTGGATGGACTGCGTTCTAACCTTGGTTTCAACACCACTGTGCTGGTTTCACAGTGTGCTTGAATATTTGCGATGCCTCTCATTTATCAGCAGAAGAAGCACAATATGTCTGATCCAAACCAAAATAATAAAATTGACTCCGCGTTGTCCTGAAAAGGGACTCTTAGGTGACTATCACAGGGGCGGTAATTGCGTTTGGTAGTAAACAAAGTTGCGTCGCCTCTCCGTGGCTTTCAGTAGACCGCCGCCGTAATTAGATTCGCTGTGAAACAGTTGCGCGGCTGTTTGGGACCGACTAGCACTGCATCGAGTGGGTTTATATTCACACCTATGCAGTCACTACAGCTGCCACTGTTCTGTCTCTTGATGGTCCAGCAGACAATCTCAATTTGAAATGAGATGACAAAGGAATGAAGCCATTTTCATTCACCGCAGATGGTTAAAGGTACTCAAAGGGAGATGGAAAATGTGCGATGGGACTCTGCGCGGTTTTCCGCCGCCTAAGTCATAGCGCTAATTTGACAATGTAACAATGCCAGCACCCCCACTGTCCCCACCTCCCTCATATCATTTTTGACAATATCTTTACGGCGTTTTAACACCTATCCTGGAAGTGCTGAATCGCCGGCTTTTACAGCTCCACGCCCCCTCTGTCTTTGCAAACGTGCTTTTTTCCTCCCCGTGTGTGTGTTGCCATCACGGGAGTAAAATCTCTGTTTCCAAACGTGTGGGGCGGCGAACTCCACGCCCCCTCTGTCTTTGCAAACGTGCTTTTTCCCTCCCCGTGTGTGTGTTGCCATCACGGGAGACGGGAGTAAAATCTCTGTTTCCAAACGTGTGGGGAGGCGAAGGCGGCTCCGGCGGCACGCTGCCAGAGCGACATGCCTAAGATCGGCACGGCTGATAATTCCCAGGCAAAGTGGGCAATAACCCAGATGTTAGGGAGTAATATCGCAGCTGTGGACGGACAGTGGCGAGGCGGAGGCCAAATGGACGCGGCTCTGAGCTCGTTGCGCCTGTCCCCATGCTGTCTCGCCATATGGAAGCCATCGCGCGGCCCTTTTTAGGACCAGGAATAGATTCTCTTCGGGGGCCACTTACGGCTAAGTGGAATTGTTTTATTGGCCGCTGAGATAGAAACCTGGCCAAGATAAACACTTGGGACGACTTGGCTGAGGCCTGTTTTCTATCGCCGCTCCACTCCCTCTGTTCTTTCTCCTTTTGAAGAGGGCTGATATTTATAGGGCCTCGCCTGCGGTGTTCCGTGTTAATTCAGGTCCCCGAGATGAGCTTTGATCCCCTCCGGATTGGGTGGCAAAGCAGGTTGTGACCTCCGTCGCGAGGCGGGAGGGGCTGGAGCGGCGGCGGAGTTGTTTGTCTCCAGCCCGGGAAGCCGGACAATCAAAGAGGTTTGAGCAGGATGATGGTCCTCCTCTTTAATTAGCGGCGGCCTGGCGCAACCTCTTTGCTGTTTGTGTTTTTACAGCGCGGCGCTATCACTGAGCAGCCTCGCGGGAACTCTAACAGGGAAACGTATCAAGGCCCCTCTGTCTTACGCCCTGTGTGGTGCCCGGCGGGAAGAGTCCGTTTGCCAAGCTTGTCCTCCATTTCCGACATGTTGACTAAGGCAAAGCATGGGAACATATGTCATGTTAAAGGAGACGTATCACGATTTGTCCTCTATTGGAAACCCTTAAAGTCTTAAAAAACACATCTGGAACATTCTTTCGTGAAAATTCCCAAAGGATCAAGAATTACAAACGCTTTACGTCCCGTTTTTCGAGCCTCGCAGAACGCCCATTTTGAGGTGCCGGTTCTGTCTCCTGTGTGTTCTCTTGTCACATATTCAAAGTCTACTCTTCACAACTTCTTCTATTTGCTTTTTGGGCAGTAGGGGTAAGGTATCCTCCATTATTCGCTGATGCCCAGGAGATAATGCGAGATAATGCCCTGTCTTAAGAGGGAAGAAGTACAGTTGGAAGTATTTCAAAGTGATACTTCTCGACTGAGAGACAAGCTTTGTGCTGTATGTCGAACTAGGTTTAGGTTTAGCCTGGGTTGTTGGAGAGAGTTTTCGCAGCATTAAAAAAAAAAAAAAATTGAATCATCTGGAAGCCATTTATTTTTTTTTCTGCTAACTGTTGTAAGTTGAATTTGAAATTATATTATACTTAATGTCAACGTGCACATGAGTCCAGAGATGGGACACATCTGTCCACCACACCGCCTCTCTCAGACATCGTAGTCAATGCGTGGCAGATCCTCGTGTAGATAAACTCGGCGTCTGTCTGTCTGTGCATGTGTTTCACTTTGGGGTCTACTCACATTTGTTGCGAGTCATTAAGACTTTAATGGCTGCGTGTTGAGTTATTTTGAGACGACTGTAAATTTACATTTTTTTTTTTGTGAGATCCTGTAAATCGGTGAAACATTCAGGATTAAAAAAAAGAACAGTAAAAATAAAATGATGGTTAATCTGCATGACTGTGAAGTACACTACAGATAAATCACAATCGTGAATATGAATGTAACTGTTCTCAAAATGGAGTATTATTATCTTTATAAAGGCAAAATTTACACGACTGGATCTCATCACGTGTACCTAATGTTGCGACCGTTGAGTGTATGAATCTCAAGGATGTACCCACATACGAACGCGCTGTAATGTGGGCCATACATGCTGCATTTTTTGCATAATATGCTGATGAGAGAGCAGTGTGCGTGCTCGCTGTGCATCATTACTCACTGCCGCCTGCTGTCTCCGGTGCGGCGTGCCAAGTGTCCTGACTCCCAACACTCAGCCTGGAAGCCAGTGATGAGTGGGACTGTCACAGCCCGGGACATCTGGCTGCTCGCTGTCGTCCTGCTCTCTTTCCTCTCTCTCTCTCTCTCTCTCTCCCTCTCGCTCGCTCGCTCTCTTTGCCAGCCTTGCCTGTCAGAAAAGAGATGTGCTAATGTCCTCCAGCAGAGATGTGTTGCAAAGTGTAAACCCTTGTCTTACTTTTAAAAACGCTCGGAGAAACATGAGGAGGTGTCAGGATGAGGCGGCAACATGTATGCGGTAGGGGAGGGCGAGCGGTTTGCACGTACAGTAGAACCTTAACGGTGGAGTATCAGTTCCTTCCGGGACGGGATGGAATATCAAGCTGTCGTTATTGTGAAACACTTGAATGCGCCGGCAATGTTTTAACATTCGTAACTACCGTAGAATTGTATAAAACAAATTGCTGCACACAACAACAACATATTCTGTCACGCAGTGTACATTGTTTACTTATTTAGCCACATTCGCAGTTTAAATGGCATACAGGGGATCCACAAGCACCCCGAACGTCCGAATATAATTTTAAAATTCATCTTGCAACATGACCCGTAAAAATTAATTGATTTGAGCTTGGAGAAAAAAAAAAAACGTGCCGAAAGTGTTGTACATGCACATGGCAAAGAGTCTCTGTAATTTCCTTCAACAACACAGGCTACACTTTGCTCGTGCCTCTCACGCAAAGACCTTGGAACGTTCGGAATGTTTCCCCTCAACATATTCCCTTGACACCGGTTTGTACATTCTTATTATGGCAGAATATTGTGACATCTTAGGTCGTTTCAGAAAGAGCACAAAAGGAGCAAACGGTTGAGTTATTCAGTGAATAGCTGAAAATAGTCCCCACAGGAAAAAAGGTACATTTGTGAATCGTGGGTGTTGACTGCGCATGTGTGTATGTTCTTATGCCGTTTGTGTCTTTATTCCAATCTTTTTATGGCTTTGATGGATTGATTGATTGATTGATTGATTGATTGATTTCTTTTAATGTCCTGTTGTGCAAAATTCGCTGAGACACAACAGAAACCAAGGTTATGACCAGAGGTTGCAAAAGTAGACCCTCTACATATAGTGACTAAATTCCTTTCCTTAAAAATAAAAAAAAAAGTCGAGAATGAAAAATATACTTTTACTGTCCATACATTTGTTTTAGTAACTTGTCACAATGAAAACCAAAGAAAATGTCTCAGCATGTGTATATTGGGTTCCTTTTTTTTTTTTTTTTTAAATGAACTTTTAAAGTGCTTGTATTTAGAAGAAGAAAAAAAACTCGACATGGGCTGACAGGCTAATCAGGACTGAATTGGTTACAAGTGCTGCACCAACAAAACAACATAATTAAATATACAAAATTACCGAACGTTAACCACTGGAAATACAGTATTTCCAATGCCTGTTTGTGTTTTTTTTTCTTTCAAATTAGATGAAGAATTTTTGAAATGCAGCTGGTGTTTTTTTTAGGTTGGCACAAGACGATGCATTTGACATGAGCCATATTTATAGCTGACAACCCCAAACAATTCTCTTCAATAAGGCCACGCTCAACATCTCAAATATCTCCTTTTAAATGGAGGAAGTAAATCATGTCGGCAGCAAAATGGCTGATCCCTTGGAAAAATGCCATCTTCTCACCTCTGCACCATGGTAATAACACAACATCTGCGTTGCACAGAAGGCTATTCAGTACCAGAGCCCGGCTGAGATGCAGAGGAGTCAGTCCAAGAGCCGCTTGTGGACGGGGGCTCTGGCCATCACCCTGGTGGAGGGCCAAGATCTGCCGCAGTGTGGACAGGGCGACGTCTATGTCCGCTTTCGTCTGGGCGATCAAAAATACAAGAGCAAGGTTAGACTTTTCAAAAAAAAAAAAAACCCTCCCTGGTTTCTCACGCTCTCCTGTCTTTTTCGTGACACGCTCTTTTTACTCTGTTTTATCTTTTGCGGGGTGCGGGGGAGGAGAGATTCCTTCGCCGCAGCGGGTACTCGTCTGTGACTCACCTCCACCTTGGCTCGCCGGGCCGCGGCAAAGGCAGCTCATTAGAGCGGGCCGGGGCTGCCACTCACTCAGTGCTGCCGGGCTCCGTTGCCTCTCTCATTTGCATACGCAGCACGCCTCCGTTCATCTACCTGGACTTGTTTTTCCTCCCACCCTCCCCAACCCGGCGCGTCGTCAGCGTGTCGCCGGCGTCGTGTCATTTCTTTGTAAAAACCTCTCAGCCGTCCCTCTCCACTTGTTTGTTTGTTTGTCGAACAAAGCCCATTCTAATTGGGAGCTGTCAGTGTTTACAATCCCGGCGTGGCTACCGGAGTGTGCGGGCGCGCGAGCGCCTCCTTTTCTCAGCCGGTTGTCCCGCACGGTGACTTAATCCACTTGTCACGCAGACGCCGTTCGGTTTGATAACGCCGTAAATGCAAATGTCCGCTTGTACGAGATGAGCCTGCCTTTATTGTCTCCCAGAACCTCTGCATTCAAGCCAATCCCCAGTGGAGAGAGCGGTTTGACTTCAATCAGTTTGCAGATAACCAGGAACCTCTGCAGGTGCAGGTGCATTTAAAGAGAGGCAGGAAGGGTGAGGAATCGTGGGGAATGTGAGTACTTCCTGCTGAGTAATGTTAGCTCACCTCCGCGCAGCCCCTTTACCTTCCCGATGAAACCATTTTCCCCTTTTTTTGCGTGTCGTAGGTTTGAGGTTGACCTATCCAACCTTGTGTTTAATGAGAGGCAGCTCTACACTCAAATGCTGGATCCGGGAAAGGGCAGGCTGGTCTTTTTGGTGACCCTGCTACCCTGCTGGGGAGTCTCGGTCTCCGACATCGAGAACGCTCCTTTGGAGAAGCCGGATGAGAGAGACGCTGCGGTGGAGAAATTTGTAAGTTTTAGCTTTTGCACAAAACAAAGACATTTCGGGAAGTGCGGAGCATTTGATATGTCAGACATCGCGTGCGTTGGTTTTATCAAAATGCCCACAACTTTCATGAATTACCGTAATATTGTTAAGCAGCGGAAAATACAAGTCGCTTGAAAAAGCTTCTGTGGAAATTTTTTTATCGGGATGGTATTATGTTCTCCCCGGGCCTACGTGGCTTTTCTCCGGGTATTCCGTTTTCCTCCCACATTCCAAAAACATGCATGGCAGGCTGATTGAACACCAAATTTTTAGTAGTCCAGCGAAATTCATAACGCCACGCTCACATGCGCATTTTGGAAAGAAGGCTCACCTCCACTCGATGGCTGGGCCAAAACCACGTACGACCTTTGTTACTATGACAACCCGGCCACTATTTTTGTAAATTGCAGCACAGAGAGAAAAAAAAGCGAGCGCCCATAAAAACAGAGGTGGTCTGCCTAGTCTCAAGTGGGATGAAGAAATTGACCCATGATACGCTCAACTCAACTTTGCTTATATGGCGCTTTCTCAACAGACGCACTTGGAACAAAGCGCTGTGCGCAAAACATTAAAACATGAATAATGGCTTTAATACAATCATAAATAGCCAAACACAAACTTCTTCCTTCATATTTTTGTTGTTACGCCAAAAGTTGCGGTGAAGGATTTCTCATTACATTTGCTAATTGACTGTCTTTTCTTTTTGTTTTCCCAATTGTATTTATTTTTTTCCCTGCAGAGCCTTCGTAACTCATATAAATCCACGGGAGAAATCGGTTTCCTCCAAGTCAAGGTTTTAAAAGCAAATGAGCTTCCCGCCACGGACATCAATGGTAACCATTCGCCGCGCCACTTTTCAACGACGATTTGATGTCAGTTATTAACGCCGCATTGCCATTTGCAGGGAAAAGCAACCCCTATTGTGTGATTGCGCTCGGAAATGGCAAACTTCAAACTCACACCATCTACAAGAGCGTCAATCCAGAGTGGAACAAAGCAATCACATTGTAAGAAGGCCAATGCACTCACCCCCGCCCCCACCCTCCCTCCCACCTTTCATGGTTTATATTACAGCATGTCTGCTGCTGTCATGCCGCAGCCCCGTTAAGGACATTCATGATGTGGTGGAGCTGACCATCCTGGATGAAAATGGAGACAAAGCACCAGGCTTTTTGGGCAAAGTGGCTATTCCATTACTGACTGTAAGTTTGTCGGGCGTGTGGGCCACAGCGTTTCTGTTCTGCCCGTTGACGTTGTAAAACGGAAAGCTGCTGTGCATTTTTTTTCTCCACCTTTAAAAAATAATCATAATAATAATAAATTGGTCAACTGTTTAACTTGGCGAAACGATGCAAGAATGGCTTGAACGGCATAAACAGCGTAAAAGCATGGGTTGTATTTTCACTCATGGTGGCAGCACTTCATCACCGAGCCACAAAAATCATCAATTCACTTGCGGCTCCTGTTTTTGTGTACACGCAATTCAAAAGTCAATTGTACTCAATATTGTCTTGACTGTGTTCAAAGGTTCAAAACGAGCAGCAGATTTGTCTCTACTTAAAGAAAGAGGACTTGAGCGGCCCAGCCAAAGGAACCATCACACTTGTCCTAGAGGTTATATTTAATAAAGTAAGCGGAAAATCATTTTGAAAGATGCATCATACAGTTTGAGATCTGAAAATAATTGCTTTCTTCTGACTCCTGCTAGGTTCGAGCTGGTATTCGAAGTTTCCAACCAAAGGAAGAAAAATTCACAGAGGAAAACGTAAAGTTCTCGAAAAAGGTATCACCGCAGTCTTCTATTATGATAAAGAAGGGCTGGCCAAAAAGTTTGACACACACATTTGAAGTCCCCCCCCCCCCCCCCCCCCCCCCCCCCCCACACAAAACAAATCCTGACAATTTTTTTCAGTTAATGCGGGGGTGTCTGTGATCAAGCCTCATTTCAGTCATAAACACAAAGACAAAACAAACAACAAAAGCATCATGTCTCCTTTCTCCAATGATCCCAACCACTTTTTGGTTGCAATTGTTCCCCATTTAGGTTCTCGCTCACAATATCTATCGGGTTCGGAAAATCAGCACAGCGGTTCTGTACACATTGCGGTACATTAAAAGCTGCTTTCAATGGGAGAGCACCCAACGGAGCCTCATCGCCTTTCTGGTAAGACATTGCCTCACGTTCATGTGTTGCCTTTGAGCCCACCTCCCTCCTCCCCCTCCATATCCCCCTAATGAAAAAAACAATGTCTGCCTTCTGTTTTGGTCCCACTTGTATGCGCTTTATCCTTCAATCAAACCCCGCATGGCTTTCCTTCGATTCTGGTGACTTTCGAGTCGAACCTTGGGGTGCGTTTGTGCGTCGGACTTGTGAGCAAAGCCTCCCAACCCGAGGGACGGCGTGATGGGGGATCACGGCGGAGGATCACGTGGAGGAGTGACGGCCTGCCTCCGAGATGTGATCCGGCGTTTTCAATGTCTCTGTTTAACTGTTTTTAATGAGGCGACGTGATCTAAGGTCCTAAGCCAAAATAATCTCGAGTCGCCCCCGTGAATCCCCCTCAGAGCGGCACTCCATAATGTCATGATTAAGAGCGCGCACTCGCCAGGGTGAGTGGGCGGTCACAGACGGGGTGCGAAGTGAAGAGCTAGCCTCTCGCCACCTTTCTTTCCGTCTGCGCCGTCTCAGGATGACATGCAACTCGTACCTGGCGTATCCCGAGGAGTGATTCACCCTGAGGCTATAGGCCTACGTATCTCAGCCTCGCAATTGCAAGACGCACAGACAGGCGGGGGGGTACGCAAAGATACATAGGTAGGGAGAGAACAATGCAGGCGTTTGTATAAGAAGAAGAGTGGGAGGCAGGTTGGAGGAAAATGTTTGCCACTGGAGATTTGCAGATCTGACATGTGGCGGGTCGGCGAAAAGATGCTAACGCCAAGGTGTGGAATATATGCTAGTTTTATGACAACGTAACTTTTATCAGGTGGCAGACTTGTGTTGATTTTTTTTCAGGCTAGCAATTTTAAAAAGCCTAATCGATTTTTAAAGTGCGAGAGACCTGACACAATCAAAAAAAAAAAGAAAAAAAAGTCAGCATATGTGTGCTTATGGCTATTCTCTGGACAACCATAACAACAAATTACATAAATAATGGTTAGGGACGGCCCAAAATGACAATTCTTGGCCGTAAACGAAAAATGGGAAACCAAGGTCGACAACAGAATCACCAAAAGAAATTATCATACGTTAAAAATCCCCAAAACTTTGCCAATTTTGTGCGAGCTCTTTGCCTGCCCTTGCTAGCATAGCGCAGGCTTTCATGCCTCGGCGGCCAGGCAGCCTTCTCGCTCTGGGCCAATGACCGGCTGTCACGTCGTGGGAAATTTTTTCCCGTGCATTAGTAGAAGAACAAATACAAAAAAAACCAAACTCACTGTTAGCTCATCTGATCACGATGTACATTGCACCTCCTTTTCTCCCTGTCATTTTTATTGTGGTGAACCACTTGTGAGATGTGCTAAAAGCATTCAGCACGAGAACTCAGACTTGTATCCAAAATCTGTGTTCGCTATTCGTTTAATGAAATGCTCATTAGCTAACTAAAAAAATTCCTGACACGAACGAACACTTCCGGGTGTGGCTTTCAAAGAGTGCGCTACAAATTCACATTTGGCGCTTTTTTTTTTTGCGGCCATTTTGCATCTCAAGTCGAGTCACCACTGATTCATGCGCTGTTCTACTCCACACAACCAAAATCCTAGTGACGACACGCGCTACACTAAACAGATATCCAATTGGGTTTAATCCGATTTTTTTTTTTTCCCTTCAGCAGTCATTCGCAAACATTGAACAAAAAAACGAACGACCGCCTTAACTCAAAAGGCTAACGAGTGGGCCTTAGCGTCCATGCTCCAGCACACTCTGAGGCCAGCCTTCTTCGTACAGTGACCACCACCCCCCCCTTCCTCCCAGTCATCATCCGCAATTAGGTTAGCGTTCGGAGCCGTCTACGACGTAGCGCGCCGCCCGTGTGCTCTAATGAAAGCGGCTCCCACTCCTATCTTTATATCTTTAGGCAGTGGTAATAAGGTAACTGATTCCGACATTGACAGATGGCCTCTGCTTGCCTCTGCGATGCGCATAATTATACCACCGGTGTCTGCTTCTCAGGGTACGCCGGTAGGAAACGCTGCAGTTTGCGCCGCAGCTTCAATATACATTACAATACATTATTTATCAAGCCGGGTGGACCGGCGTGAGCCTTTTTACACCGCATACATCCTGTAATGCATTTCCGCCGCCGCGGCCTCTGCTGGGACCGCGGGGATGTTCCTCGCCGAGTACTTTACCAGAAATACTTAGCTATTATATCACTCAGTCCCGGGGGCCAATTTTTTGACCTCAGCGTAGCATGCGGCCTCCATTTTTATCCTGTTTATGGAGATGCGTGTATGCATTATGAAGCACCTCATCGGCGTGCGGTCTGTATAAGCTATTCAAATTATTGCATGACGGATCACTCCTGGTACACGGAGAGGATGGGGGGTGGGGACATTTTGGGGGGTAACATTTTACTAGCAAGTCGGTAATGAGTAGCTAGGCTCAATTTCCGCCATACTTAACCGTTTTTCTTTTGATTGTTTCATGTGTATGTCCGACACGTGTTTTTCAGACAAATATTTAATGCAAATAGGACTTAGCTGCTGTGTTTTTGTTTGTTACTCGTGCTATGTTACGACTTGGGTACAAATTTGGGTGAAGCCACCAATGTAAAACAAGAAGCTGCAGCTTTGCCTTTCCTTCAAAAAAATCAAAAGATAATATGTGTAGATGGTGTGACTAGATGGCGCTGCAGTTAGCTTTACACATGACCGATACCGCTATCGGTCACGGTCGGCAGCCTTTCCAGTCGTGGCATCTGTACAGCGAAAGTTTCTGCTCGCGTTTCAAGAGAAGATGCTAGATTTTGGAAGACCTTCATTCAGGTTGTCCTCGCTTTAACCTCGGTACCGACAGACAACGTTTCAAGGTTGCATACGATGCACAATGAAGTAGATCGGGCAGCAGCGAAAGAATACGTCACCGTGCCGCTCAGTTACCGATGTACTTACTTTTTGGCGTGTGATTGTTTCATATTCATGGCCTGCAAGCTGTTTTTTTTTTTTCCAATCAAATATTTACTGGAACTAACTATGACTTTGCTACAATGTTGACGTCGGTTAGTGAGTGGCTTATGTATAAATTTGCTGTTGGAAAGGAAACTGAGGACTCTACGCCAAAAGCTGAGCTCTACTGGGGACACACTGGAATATTCACAGTTTTGGGACACACGTCTTAATCAGTGAGCCTCCAAATGTCACCTTGCACTGCTAATTTTAAGACAGTTTGGAAAATCCTATGCTAACACGAAAAAGTTTTTCCTATATAATGTGTGTATTTTTGGGGTAAAAAAAAATGTCAGTTAAAAAAATATATATTAAAAAATATATATGATTCATAGACCCAGCCGTTATCTCGTCTGTCTCACAGTCAAGAGCTCCCGGTTTGAATCTCAGTATGACAGTGTGGAGTTGACTTCCCTGCGTGGTTTCTTTCAAGCTTTGCGATGTGCATCGAATGTTGGAAGTTGTAAAAAAGTTTGGTTGAGTTTGCCACCACTGCACTGCGGATGTTGTTTATGAAGTGTATCGCTAATTAGGTTAAAAAAAAATGATTATGCTGTCACGCTCTGTGAAAAAAAAAAAAGAGGGCAGTTTTGGAAGTCCAAAAATTCCCCGAGTGGACAAACACAATAACTGGAAAATTCCATGGTTTCCCCTCCAGCGCCTCAGCTTGTTTGTGCTTCTGTAATGAGACTCGGATTGGCGTTTTTCAAGAGTTTGACAACAGCGAGGAACTGTGACGGCTATAAATCTTCACAAAATAACCTCCTTTAGATGTTCTTTTCCCTGCTAGGACGCAGAGCCAAATGAATGTGCTATACATTCTCCAAGAAGGGTCACGCAGAGTTCTTTGTTGCACGACAGGATGCGGCCTTTAGATGGCGCTATCGCACTTCTGGAGAAAGCGAGCCAGGGCCATCTGACACTCCCCCTCAGCCCCCTTCTCATAGTTTCCTTTCATGGGGAAGAAGTTCTTTGCGAGATCGTCGGTTTTGGGAGCAGCGCAAAAGACAAGTTGGAATAGGAATCTTAAATTAGCACGTATTAGCCAGGCAAATTAATCATCTTCAGAAGTTCAACTTTTGATTGAGAGTTAAAGAGAAAAGGGATCATTTGCACTTGAAAGCTGATTCGGAGCCTCGCTGTCATTAGAACTGCTTAAAGTATTTAAGGAGAATTAATATTTCAACGTGAGCGCTGCTTGGGAAACGTGTGTATAGCTCGAGTGGGTTCTCTTTTTGACCCAGCCAGCCGCTTTTTTTTTTTTTTTTTTTTTTTTTTTTTTTTTTACATCCTGTTTAATGTTGATTGACTCACATCACACACTGTAAAGATGGCATTTGATGAATACTTGATGCGGCGACGTCGGAAATACATTTGGCAGTCACGACCACCAGTGGCGGGAAGTGCAAGTACGTAGTTAGGGAACGTAAACAAATTTTCAGGTGACTCTACGTAACTGCGCCATTTTACTTTTACTCCCTATATTTGAAAACAGATATCTGCATGTTCTTCTCCTTTGTTCAATTTTTTTCCACCATACGTGGATGACTACACGTGTTTAAAAAACAAACAAAAACAACAACAAAAAAAGATTGGTTGAGAGTTTTGGGACAGCAGTGACATGGAGCAATGTGAATCATTAACAATGATGACACGCAGATACCGAGATTGCAAAATATTACCCATTCATAACTTTATTTTAGAGAAATGTTTAATGTTGGAACCAAGAATGGTTGGTGCCGTATGCTCTTCAGTAAATTCACATGCAGATACGGTGATATTATTTCAATGATCATTAGCTAATTCAGTTTATTTTTATTTTTTTTGTGTGGCTACTTTACAACATTCGCAAAGCTTTGGGATCATATTATTTTGATAGTTTAAAATTCGAGCCAAAGCTAGCGAGGTCTTTGTTTTTGTAAAAACAACAACCGAAAAGGTTACTCTTGAGGTTATCACAACAAAAGAAGCATTGTACACGACATATAGTCATGA